CGGGGTGCGGTCGGTTGGGACGGGCAGAAAGGCGCCTGGGGTCCTCCCATGGGCCGGGCTCCGAAAGCCGCGGATTCGCCCGGCGAACACGCGGTTTTGGGTGGAGGGCTGAAAAGGGGTCCCCAGCTGCCACAGATTTTATCGGCTGGCAGCCAGTCTTCCAAGCTCTTCGCTTACGCTGGTTGTTCGTGCGAGGCCGATCTTGCCGCCAACTTCTGGATAGCCCGCGTCCGCCTGTTAACCCATCAACCCTTTTGGTGTTGGATTCGCCGGGATTTGACGCCATAAACCATTATGAATGGAGTTCTGTAAGGACCAACCCGAAAAGGATTGCCGTCAAAAAACACAACACACGCGAATGAATCAAACCGATCAGCACTCGCGAGATTAGTTCCTTTTGGCTGAGTCCGTTGCTCAGATTCCTTAATTTTTTTTGTTTAAGTTCTGTCAATACCGAGGTTGCATTTACAGCTTGTAGGATGTTGTCTGTCGAGATCAACTGGCACTTCGCCAGTCACTGACATAGCTAACATGGAAAAAACAGCACTACAGGGATTGTGAGTCGCCATAGACCAAAAGGCCAACTTATGGCCACTGGAAAGCATACCCCCCAGCCGCTGTCGGCCGGTGGCAACTTCAAGGTATAAAAAGAAATAAGCGCAACTTGCTACGGGCACAGCTTCGAGGCATGTAGCCAAAAAGGGGTCACCCTCAGAACGGGGCCTACACAAGTTCTCCCAGCCATGTACTTACGTTTTCTGAATGGATTCGGCCCGGGGACAAGTCAAATCTACGTTCGGTTCCCATACAAAATCGATCTTTCCCTCCGAAATGGACAAAGTTCAGAAACTGGTTGGAGGTGAGCATACGACCCATGTTCCACCGGACTGCAATTGTAAGACGGATGACGGGCTTCCAACCAATTTGCCCAGCGAGAGAAACGTGGCACCTCTTTTGCAAGGAAAAGAGATGCCACTGAGCGGAATCTCGCTTGGGCCACGCACACACGCGTCTTTCCAGGGACCTTCGGAAAGTGGACGATTTTGGGCATGCCCGACTCTCACAACCCCCACTGAAAATGAAGGGGCAAGCCTCTGAATCAATTTCGCCATCGTCGGCAAAACCACGGCCCTTCGCCGTGCCTCGCGGCCCCACTCAGGCGCCTCCTCCGCCTTTCTGCGAGGGAAGGAAACGAGCGACGGCTTGGGGCGACCCTACCAGCCACTGCCCAATTTGCGGCGAAGGGTCCTGTTCCTTTGCGTCCCATTCTGGCAACTTCTGGGCATAACATCATCATCATTTGTTTCAAGCAAGTCCACCCAATACCCGAAAGAAATTCACAACAAAGCAAAGCAAGCAACGACTGACCGACCGACCGACGCCCCGAGGCGAGCGAGCAAGCAGGCAATCATGCAGGCAGGCAAGCGAGCAACATGCAGAATGGCCAACTGGCCAACCAAGATTGACATAACAACCACGAAGTAAGCTTTTGCCCGGAAGGAAAACGTCATGTGTTTGAGGTGTTTGGGGCAGTTTTCTGAAGATAGGCCCAGGTGGGTGTTTTTTTTTCCCCCCCGAACCCGGAATCCGAAACCGGAATCAGCTTTGTTGGCGTTGCTTTCCGAATGGGCTCTGATTTCGGGGTCCTGTCAACCTAAACCCGTGACCCCTAATGGGAATCTATGGAAAGCTGGAAAAAACTGAAGGCAAACCAAATGCTCACAGAAGCTGCGACATCGGAAAACCATAGGAACACCTAAAGGGAGCAAGGCGATGGATACTCCGGGCAAGTGCAACAAAAGGAGCTTCCACTCCCTAGGCCTCTCAGAGTACCGTTGAAGAGCATTTGGGCTGTCCAGTAAGAACAGAGGAAGCTCTAGCAATCGCCTATCTCTTCCCATTGGAAGGAACCAGCACCAATAACGCTCATTCAGTGCTAGTTTGAAAAGGAAGGGGTCTCCGATTTATGTTCAAATTACAGGGACCAAACATGGCGCTGACATCTAAGGATGTCCGAAAAGAATGTGCATGCTTAGCGAGAGCGGTAGAATTGCCGTGAGAGGAGTCGTTCTATATTCGTGGCCCGAAGTGGGGTAACTTTTCCCATGTGGGATATATCATCGTTTTGGTGGTGGGTTTCCCCGATGGTCACGTGTAAAGGGCCTGTTGTGTAGACTTTCAGCGTGTGGTTTCCATTAGTGGTTTGGATTGGGTTTGGATTGGCGGTTTTCGTAGTTACCCGGAGGGGGGGGGGGGGTTGTTCTTCATCTACCCTCTACAGGAACCAGGGGTTCTAATCTCAAACCTACCAATCGAATCCACCACAACTGACGGGAACTACTGAAATTGTGGTTTCCCCTTAACACTAAAAAGCAAAACAGAAAGGGGGGACCGACTCCAAAAACAGAAACTCGAGCCGCCCATTTAGGGAACTCCTTCCTGCCCCCTTACAGGCACGGCTTTTCCCCTAAAGTGCACTTTGGATGGGTCCTGAAACAGGATTGTGCGTGTTTCCTGCATCAGGTTCTCTCAGATTTGAAGGTCTAAAAAACGATCGAAACTGTTGAAGGGTAATGGAGCGATCCCAGATCATTCAGGTCTCAGATGATTTGTTAAACAGAAAATGAAGATAGGAAAACACATAATAAACCCGTAAACCCATCTGATATTTAAATTTCAGTAACCCATAAACCCCCCGCCAGCAATCGCTTGATGGCACCGGCATGGCAGGAGAAAAACCAATCATGGCAGGAGAAAAAAACCAAAAGCCGCGAAGAAGGGCGGCGGAGGGTGTGTGTGTGTGTTTCTTTGTTTGGGGAATCAACGGGCCATGGTTCCGCGTGAAGAGAAAAACAAACCAAATGTTGAACACGTGGCCGGGTTTGGCGTGTGAAGGAAAACCACAACACTACAAACTTGATAATAGTCTTGCCACTTGTGTTCTTCTCTTGTCGAATCCGCAAATAAGGATTTTAAGCCTGGCTATTGTAGCTGAGAGACGGGCGACACGATTCAGTGCTCCCGATGCGGTTTGAACGCGCCATCAGGTGCAGATGCCAAGACTTGTGCGATTACTCCACTGGGGAACAGCCCAACAGGAACCATGGCTCCCCCCCCCTCCCCCCCCCCACCCCTGCCCCCCCCCACCGTTTGGCAGGTTTGATATTCCTTGGACAAATCTGAGTCGAGGAGAAAGATGTTTGGGTGGGCCCATCCCAACTGCTCGCTCCACTAAACCTTGTGATGCAGCACCTGCATCAACACTACATGCCCCCGCCCAGCAAGGAGGGCTATGTGGTGGGAACCCTTGTTTTTATAGTCACGAGGTCGCCCAATGCCTAACTTACCGATGGACAACATCGGACTATACTCCACTCCGCCATGTTGCCAAGTTGGGTCTATCAAACCATCTGGATCGGCCAGTTTCAGCAACTGTGACTGGTTTAGATGAAAGTGTCTACTTCGCCTAGGAAAAAAAGCAGCAACTTGGCCCCCCCGATCCAGGCAGCATTCAAAGCCACGTTTCCCCTCCATTCCCACCCCCGGCGCGCTGTGCGGATTTCGTCAGCATTGCTCTGAGTCAGATGCCTCGCGAGCGGCTGCGCGAAGCCACTTGGCCTTTTGAACATGATTTGTAGGATTCACACTTGCTTGCCCCCATTTAAAGAATGGCACCCACGCCCCCCCCCCCCCCCCCCCCCCCCCCCCCCCCCCCCGGGCCCAATTCATATGACGACAATATCTAGGTAAACTATGGTGGTTTCTTGAACCTTTGTTTTAATGGCGGCGCTGACTGAACCCTAGGGCCTTGCTTGCCATAGATGTTGTAGCCTGCTACTTTCCTTGTTCGTTTGGTTGGCCATATGTTGGAATGATTCGGCTGCATTTGGCCGTTGGAGTTTAGTTGCCGTACAAGCCTTTGGCCAAGCAAATGTTCATATGCTTGCTGCGAATGTGTAGTGTCCAAACACCAAAATGATGTGTCATTTTTGGCTCAGGGGGAGTCCATCATGGCATTTTGGTTGCTCAACCTTGTGGGCCACACACACAACACCTGTAGAAAACCCGACCTGGAAACCTCTGGTTTGGGGGTTGATTTACAAACTGGCGTCTTGCTTGGGGGGGCTGGAAAAAAAAAAAAAAATAAAAGTGAAGCCATCCATTTGTTAGGTTGCCTTTTTGGGCAGAGCAATAGCCCAGAAATAGCCAAGCTCTGAATTTAAGCGTGCATTAAACCCTTTGGCCAGCTTGCAAAGGCCAAGCCAGGACAAAATCACAATCGCCACTCTCCCCCCAATCTCTTCCAAACAGGAAGCGACCTCCTCTCTTTGTTTGTGACAACCAGAATTATTTTTCAAGTTTGGGTGCCCCTCTATGCCGCTTCAACCCCCAAAAACCTCAAGAGGCAAAAAGCTGCGGGATGTTCATCCCCGCCCCGCACCCCCAAAAAAGTCTCTGCCCGGCCTCCCCGAGAGGGCCCAGCGGATTTGGGCAAACACTCCCCCCCTGCAAGTAGGAAAGGTGTAATTTGTTTGAGGGTATACATGTTTCTGGACTCTTGTCCTTTGGGGTACCTGGACCTCAGACTATACCCGTACAGTAAGGAAGCAGTTCCCCCATGATTTGAGGTCGAGAACCCATGTTTAACGGAACTTTGCGGATCCAGGTACCCGTTTGCTTGATGACCTTTTCAAGGTTTTCCAAAAGGAACACCGAAATCCATGCTGGCTTGTCGTGGCTTCCTTTCAATGCAAGGAGACCGATTTCAGCAAGCCATCGCTCCATCAGCGACATCGTGTAACTGATACTCCGCAAAATCCTGCTCCGCTGGTGTTCCGTCATTGCCACCTCTACACAAATTTGCAGCACATTCGTGAGGCAGCAGCCCCCGTGTCTCTCAATGTCGGAGAAGCCGAATTGTTGCAAAAGTGCCAAACCAAAACTACCCAACAAAACACCCCAAGGCCAGTCCAACCATTCCAGCCATAAAACAATTTTTCTCAGCGTTGTGCCAGAACCATGTTCTGATTTGGCAACGCGTGCAGCAACATGCCGAGCTCGTGCAAGATATCGGCGACGTCTCGATCATCAAAATCCGGGTGACCTGGCTGCAGTGCTGTACGGGCTGCCTCCAAGAGCGCTGCAGCTCCGGGGAGATCGCCCTGCTGCTCGAGCTGTTGACACTGCCTCTCTAGCAGCCACCAAAAAGCCCTTTGGGGCACATGCTTATCTGGCTCTTGAGGCAGATGTGGAAGGCCAGCCAGCCATGAGGACGTGGCGGCCGCATCCAGCGTCGTCCCAGACTCCAGCGTGGGTGCCACAAAATCATTGGACTGGGCAGACTCAGGCGCTTCACTTCCTTCACCCGTAATGTAAAAAGGGCGCAACCTCCCAGCTGCAGCCACCAGTGTGGAGGGCACATTCGCCTGGGCATAGTGAAACTCCTCGATTCTGCGGGCAGCTTGCAGCGCCCTGCGGGCTGCAAGGATCTGGGCAGCACCCGCTGCCGCCTGTGCAGCCTGCAGCTCCGCCGCCATGGCCTCCAGCAGACGCGCGGCGTCCAGCCCGTACATGTCCCGGACGTCGAGGTCGACGCAGCTCGGCGCCTGCAGAATCTCCAGGACGCACAGCGCCCCCTGCCGCAACCGGCCCGCCGCGTGCAGCTGCTCTTCGGGCTCCGAGCCGGCGGCGTTTTGGGCCGCGCCGGCCATGTCGCGGAAGATGTGGCGCACCTCCGCGTCCCAGCTCGCCACGGTCTCCTCGGTTCCAAAAGCATGTCCCAGAAATCCATCCCCTCAGGTGCCTCCCGACATGTTCTCACAAATCAAGCCACAGCACGCGACAACAAAGACATGCGATTTAACAAAAATAATATTCCCGCCCGGAAACCTCGCCAAACCTCCCGCCTCCGCCGCGGCGCGGAGAGCCGCGTGCGGCAGGTTGGCCATAGCGGCCGCGGCAGCCACGGCGGCCATGCCGGCCATGGCGGCTATGGGCTGCCCCAAGACTCAGCTAACAGAACAGGAGAGAGAGGAGGGCGTCATCCGTTGCCCTCTCTTGACTGCCAAAACCTGATGGCTCTCCTTTGTTGGGGGAACTATTGGCGGTTGCTGTTGCGCCCTGTCCAACAACTTGAACGTCTTGGTTGATTTGGTGTCGCCCTAGTCTGCATGCAGAGATGTGGTTGTTAAAGAATGCTACAATTGCTGGTCGTCTCTTGGCCTGCTTGCTGCTTCCTAGTAGAATTGCGCTTGGCAGCTTAAAAAAGCCTCGGCAAGCCTTCCTGTGATGTGGGGCATGTGACAAAACACGGTTTAAAGCATGAACGCAAGGCAGGACCTGGAACAGCCCCGTCCGGGGCTCCGTTGATCAGATTCTCTTACAGTCTTACATAAGTTATCTCGCATCATACTTTCTTCCTGAATGGATTCAGCCCGGAGAAGTCAAAACTACCTGTTTGTTTCCCCCTTAAAATGATCTTTCTCCGAAATGTGCAAACTTCAGAAACTTATTTTTGAGGTGAGCAAACCCACGTTCGACCGGCACCTCTTGTGCTGGAAAAGGAAATGCCACTGAGCGGCCTTGTCCGTATCTGAATCTCGCTTGGAGGGCCATGCAAGTCTTTGTAGCCTTCAGCAGCGGACAGCCTTGACTTGGGGCAGGGTGCCCACAAACGCCGACTCAAATCAAGGCAGGTCTCCGAAACACGCCCTTGTTGCGTCCCCGAAACAGCCCTTCGCCTCGCCTCAAACGACAGCTCACGCGCCTTCCGAGAGCGCAAAGGAGCGAGCACGAACTGCTGCCTTGGGGCGGTGAGGCGGGCAACTTGACACCTGCCGACCAAAAGCGACTGCCCAATTGCTGCGACTGGCCCTGTGTCTTCGCCTGCCTGGCGATTTCTCGACTTTTATCAAGAATCAATTCTCAAGTTGACCCAAAACCAAAGGGATCACCCGAGAGGGGCACTTCCTCGCATCCCCGCTGACCCCTCTGCCCCTGCCCCCGCAACCTCCTTCCCAAGCTGAGTCTGTCGGGGCTCCAGGCATGCGGCCGAGGACCGCGGCGAACTGGGCGACTAAAGGGCCGCTTGGGGCCGCCGCAGAACTCGAGAAGCCTCCGCAAGTCGTTCCAGAAATTCTTCTTTTTCAGAAAAGAGCCAACCCTTCCTATATCAAGCTGCAACCGGTTGCGCTTTGGTTGCCAACATGGCGCCCTCAAACGACTGCTCTTTTGGCGCCGGTGGCTTGTAGGTTGGTCCGCGGTGTGTTGCTGATGTGCTGCCAAGAGCACTACGAATCACAGTGCTCCAAAACCGGCCGGGAGCAGCATCAGGATTTGTTTGGGAGTTCGCAGCGGGTCGCGCGGCGCCGCTATCCAAGCACTTTAATTCTTGGGAGTTTCAACCAGCCTGAATTAGGTATGATGCTGAATATGGAACCCTTTGGCTGATTTTGGTGGGGATTTATGTCCAGCAACCACTTTTGAAGGGGTTTTGAGGGGTTCCTATTAAAACTCCCAGCCAATTCAAGCATGTTCTACCGAGTGGCTCAGGTGGTCAGCCCCCGGCAGCCGCAAAGCTGCACGTCAGCAGCCTCCGAGAAGTTCGGAAGGGGCGTCCGGCAGGCTCCCCCAAGGGCAACCACGGCATTTCATCCCAACGCCATGAAAAAAACAAACCACGACATGGGACTGAGGGCACGTCAGGAGGGGATATGGGAATAACTTTAAACAAACATATTGCACCACGCGGGTGTGTCTCAAAATTAGATGGACCCCTCCAGGGTGGGTCGCTAATGATCTGCATTCTGGGTTCCCCGTTTCGTTGTGCCTGCCTTGAACCTCTCTCTTCCTGCTCGGCACTTGAGCAAAACGACGCATCTCTGAATGGGTTCTAGTCAAACTGCCTCAAAGCGGGGCGGCCCGCTTCAACACGCGGCCAGGTGCAAGAGCCAGGTCCGTCAACTCCAGCGCCAAAGCTGGGGGGAACTCTAGTCGTTCTTCCCATCGTTTGCAGGCAGCCTTCATACTGGCAAACGAACTGGCAAAGTAGAAAGATGGATGGCGATGGGTTAAACAGAGCTGCTAATGAACACCCTTCATCTGAACAGTCCACCCCTAGTTCTCAATGCGGACGCGGCACGTGTCAAAATAGGTTTGCCTCAAGACATTTGGAACCAGGAACGGGAAATCGCAAGGCAACCACGTGGAGATGCTTCCCTCTTGAGACACGCAATCTGTTTCGCTAGGCAACACGCCACTTACAACTCACAAGGATAAACCTCTTGGCAGGCGCCAATTTTAGCGACGCACGCGAGCTTTTGCCGCTGCTTTTCTCGAGCTTGCAACTGCGCAGGTCTGATCCTTCTAGCCCGGCAAGAGCTGAACTGCGAAGTGCAAGAGCGTGGCGGAGAAAGCCGCCGACCATGCAAATGGAAAGACCATCACGACCATCCCGGCAGCTGTCCATCTCTGCCGCAGCAGCAGCACAGCGCCCAGCTCGATCAAAGCCGCTAACAGGCTTTCGTGGTGTTCGTGGTCAAGGATAGACCTCCGCGTCCTCATCACAGATGCGTTCATCCTCAATGCCTCTATCAAGAGCTCCTGGGCCTGCTCCTGTTTTCCACTGCTCCTCAGCACCACACCCAGATCAAGCAAAGTAACGGCAACCTCCACATGGTCGCAACCACCATAGACGGACTTCTAATTTCTCAAAGCCTCCTTCAGGTGCTCCTCAGCTTGCTTCAGGTCACCTTTCTGATCCAGCAAACTGCCGTACTCATGCAAAGTGACTGCAACCTCAACATGGTCGGCACCACCATAGACGGACTTCATCATCCTCAATGCCTCTATCAAGAGCTCCTGGGCCTGCTCCAGTTTTCCACTGCTCCTCAGCACCACACCCAGATCAAGCAAAGTGACGGCAACGCTCACGTGGTCGCAACCACCATAGACGGACTTCTTCATCCTCAGAGCCTCCTTCAGGTGCTCCTCGGCTTGCTCCAGGTCTCCTTTCTGCTTCCGCACCATGCCCAGCTCATGCAAAGTGACGGCAACGTTCCCATGGTCGGCACCATCATAGACGGACGTCATCATCCTCAGTGCCTCCTTCAGGTGCTCCTGGGCTTGCTCCAGGTCTCCTTTCTGCTTCTGCAACGTGCCCAGCTCAAGCAAAGTGACGGCCAGTTGCCCATGGTCGGCACCATCATAAGCGCACTTCGTCATCCTCAGTGCCTCCTTCAGGTGCTCCTCGGCTTGCTCCAGGTCCCCCTTCTCCTGCAGCAACCTGCCCAGCTGATGCAACGTGCCGGCGACGTTCGCATGGTCGGCACCAGCAAAAACGGACTTCTCCATCCTCAGAGCCTCCTTCAGGTGCTCCTGGGCTTGCTCCAGGTCTCCTTTCTGCTTCTGCAACGTGCCCAGCTCATGCAAAGTGACGGCCAGTTGCACATGGTCGGCACCATCATAGACGGACTTCATCATCCTCAGTGCCTCCTTCACGCGCTTCTCGGCTTGCTCCAGGTCCCTTTTCTCCTGCAGCAACCTGCCCAGCTGATGCAACATGCCCAGCTCGTGCAAAGTCACCGCAACGGTCGCATTGTCGTCACCAGCATAGACGCACTTGCTTATGCTCAGCGCCTCCTTCAGGTGCTCCTCGGCTTGCTCCAGGCGCCACCATAGACGCACTTCATCATCCTCAGCGCCTCCTTCAGGTGCTCCTCGGCTTGCTTCAGGTCACCTTTCTGCTTCCGCACCATGCCCAGCTCATGCAAAGTTGATGCAACGCTCACGTGGTCGGCACCAGCATAGTGCAAGCTGTTGGCCGCGTCATGATCATCAACATCCTGGTCACCTGGCCGCAGTTGCTTCAGGGCTGCCACCAAGAGCGCTGCAGCTCCGGGGAGATCGCCCATCCGCTGCCGCATGCTACTTTGGCTCGTTAGCATCGACCAAACAGCCCTTCGGGGCGCATCTTCATCTGCATCGTGAGAATGTGGAAGGCCAGCCAGGCCAACGCACTCTTGGCATATGTCCCAATCGCACTGGAAACAACACAAGGTCACCCCTCGCTCTTCCTCGCAAAGGACGCAGATTGCTAGCTGATACTGCCGCTCATGCAGGTCATGCCCTGCCGGGCACGTTCTGATTTTGGCACGCAGGAGTTGCCGCTGCAGCACAATGCGCTGAGATGCCTCAACGCGAACCTCACCCTCTCCGCCCAGCTCCTCCTCGTCCACGCGGCCAAGGATCTCGGGCCGGCCGCTCGAGCTGGGCACCAGCCAGCCGGAAGTGGCGGCCACATCCAGCGTCGTCCCCGACTCCAGCGTGGGCTGCGTGGCAACCTCCGATTGCTCATCTACGGATGCCTCACTTGCCTCCGCCTGAGGCTCCAGCTGGCCCGCCTCCTCCAGCCGCCGGGCGACATCGAGCACTCTGCCGGCAGTGAGGGCCCAGGCCCGCCGAGCCTCGGCAGCGGGTCTGCTGCCACCTGCGGGCGCCGTGGTGTGCCGCTGCAGCTCCGGCGACAGCGCCTCCAGCAGCTGCCCGGGGCCCAGTCCGTTGAGGTCCGCGACGTCCACGTCGCCGCTCGGCTCCACTCGGAGGATCTCCAGGACGCGTGCCGCGGGCCCTCGGATGGCCTCCGCCAATTGGCGCAGCCCCGCCGGCTGCCACGCAGCCGCGGGCCATTCGGCGGCTTGCTGGGCCGCGTTCGCCAGCTCATCGAACAGGCCGCGGACCTCCAAGCCCAGGCCGGGCTCGGCCACCGGTACCTGACAAGTCTTAGTCTGACAACGTCCAGACAAAACAGAAACAACCTCATGCAATTGGCAGCGAAACTCAAACCAACAAAACACTGCCAGTCTAGATTGGCAAGGTGCAGGCACTTTGCCCTCTGGGATCAGGAAAGCAGAACGTGCTGCCACAGACACCACCGCATAGGAATCGCTCTCCCTGGTGCAGTGCAGCCTCTCCACCCTGCGGGCGACATAAAGCGCCCTGCGAGCCGCCAAGGCCCAGATCTTCCGGTTCTCCAGCCCGGCGCGCCGCTCCAGCTCCTGCGCCACCATGGCAAGGGACTCGCTGGCCGTGCGCCCCGTGAGGTCCTCCACCTCGAAGTTGCCGTCCTCCTTAGAGCCCAGGAGGTCGCAGAACCGCACCTGCAGGATCTCCAGGACGCGCAGGGCGCGTTTCCGCATCTCTCCGGCCTCGCGCGGCGGATCGCCCGGCGCGGACTCAGCGGCGCGCCGGGCCGTGCCCGCCAACTCGAGCAAAATGCCCTCCACCTCCGCGTCCTCGTCGGCCTTGGCCTCCTCAAGCATCCAGGCCAGGGGAGCAAAAAACACATGGGCCAGCCGGAACAAGTCCACAGCGGTTTTTGCAGTTGGGGTGAAAGGGTTGAGTCGAGGTTTCTGACGCCCAAAGCTTCGGCATCCAAGTCCAGCCCCCCATCCCCTCGCCTCCCTGTTCTGCTTCGCGCCGTCGCGGGTGGCGCGGCACAGAACCCGGAAGGCGACCCTCCCGCGCCAGCCCAGGTATCGTAGCAGCAGCAAGGAGCGCCCGGCGCCCACAACGGCGGCCGCCATGGCGGGTGCTCCGGCCAGGTGCGCCTCAAGATACCAAGCCTCAAACGCCCAGTGGCCTTCCAGGGGGAAAAAGGAATCGGCCTCCTTTTTGGGTTGGCGGGCTCGAAAGGAGTCGGAACCTTTTCCCAACAAAAAAGGACTGACAAAAGGGCGCCACCGAGGCAACCAAAACCCTCCGAGTTCGGGATCTGCCAAGTCTGCCCAGAGATGCCACTCCAGCATGCGGTGTGTGCTGAACGTGGCTTGCCCTGCTTCGCGGCCCTCTGGAGCTCAAAACGCCTTCGAAGCACAGCAATTTCACGCCACTCCCGTACGCGCCTACCTCACCCACTCACCAAGCCAAGTCAAGGCAAGCCTTTGAATCCGACGTCAAATCCAAGGCAAGCAGAAGCCAAAGCAAGGCGCCCCCTTGTTGCACACGTCTCCGACCTCTCAGCCCCAGCCCCCGCCTTCCGGGTGGCAACCTGCTGCCCCTGGCGCCGGGTGCCAGGTGCCCCGAGCCAGATGATTTCAGGCCGCAGGAGGCCGCGGCTCCAAAGATTTCTGGAATCCCCCCAAACAACTGGCGACCCAGGTGTCCCTTTGTTGAGGGCACCCCTTTTTTTCACCCTTGGTTTCAAGGGAGACCCAAGGGAGAACCGAAGCCATCACTGTTCCACATCCGTTGTCTTTTTGAGACGGCCTTTTCCTTCAAACCGCATACTGGGGAAAACGCTGAAGCACCCCCAAAATGGCCCCGTGAGGCAAGTCTAGCTGGTGACCTGGTGCGAAGTCGAGAGAGAATGAGTTGGAATGAACCGTTTTGGGATTCACGGAAAGAAAACCAACTCGGATGGATGGTTTGTAGGGGTCATTCCATTTCTCATTCGCTACTGAGCACCAGCAAGAATAATGGTCTGGTAAATGGAAGCAAAGACGAAGCCTGCGTAATTTGCCCTAGCTCTTTAATCTTAGCCACACCCAAAAGAGAAGCAACCCAGGACCCAGGCAAGAAAGTGATGACCAAAAGCAGGACAACAGGCCAAACACCAAGGTAGGAGCTTGGAACAAATGCCATGTTGCAAGCCGGCTGGTATATCACTGAGAGAAAATCCAAAGCTAACCCACAGGCCACAACTCAAGGTGAAAGGGGCACAGAAGGCAGGCTTAGAGGTCTCCCGGGGAGGCGGAGCCGAAGTACCCGACACAAGCAGCAGGCTCAGGTGACATCCGGAAATGGTGTCAACTTGGACGCAGGAAATGAGAGTTATGGAGAAAAACCGATGACAGTGGCTGGCTGGCGGGCGGTGTCCGTTTTTTGGGGGGCCACCCCAAGGGTCATTTTTGTCAGGGAGCCTATCACAAGTCAAGCTGGAAGGCAACCTTGTGGGCGAAAAAAGGCAGACGCGAGTCAAGAACGCCCTTGGGGCAGACCACTTTGAGTGAGACACCCAAAGGGACAAAGGGTGCCACTTGACACTTCACTGGGTTTGCCACTGTAGGGTGGGATCTGCGCTGTTGGCTGAGCTTGCGGCGAGCCAAAGAAGACTCCTGGCGTCGATGGCTTAAGCTGGGCAAAGCGGGCCCCGCCAGCCCAAAGCATTGTGAGTAAGCAGCCTCAACTCTATTAGCAGCATCTGGAACATCCAGTTGCTTAAGTCCTAGGAAAAATGGGACAATACTGTGGATGGACGAAATCCTGCACCACTTTGAAACGATGGGAAACCATTGTTTGTTGGTATTTGGAGGGTAATCATCGTTCCGGGTTCTCTTCGGTGGTGCAGGATTTCGTCCATCCACAGTATGTCCAGTGATGGATTCCCGTAAACAATCAACAGGGAGAGCTGTAACATACGCTGCTTGCCAGTGGATGACAAATATGGCTGCGTCTTTTTCTTGGAGTTGGTGCCGCCTTTTGGGGCTCAAAGCAAAAAGGCAAAACACACATTTGGGGGTGCCCCCTAAAAACCGACACACCCATATTCTGTCAACACAGCCCGAAATCGCCACGTCACTTTCTCTCTCCCTCTCTACACTCTTTCTCCAGCCAAGGGCGAGCCCAAAAACGGCCGGAGTTGGTATTAGAAACCCCAGGCCCTGGACTGCCGGGAAAGCACCTTGAGGGTCTGAAAACATAGCTGTGAGAACGCAGTGCGAGTTTCCAGCATTGTGTCAACTGGTTGGCCCAAAAAGTGATGGACCCCGAAACCTGCTTGCGACATTAAATACGTATAAACCGGTTTTTTCCTGCATGAACTCACGCGGTGTCCCAAAATGTGGTCAAAAGTGATGTTGTTGTCCAAGACCGATTCTTGTTTTGTCCCTGATTGCCTAGTTCGGGCTAGGAAAGACAGAAGGCCAACTCCCGTCGATGTCATGGGATCAAATCCTGCGATGTCCATATGGACAAACACTTCCTTCAAAAGAGCGATTTCAATACTTGCTGGTGCTCAGTAGGGAATGACCTTCCGGGTTTTGGGGGAATGACTCGGATTTGGGGATTCCCTGAAAGGCGAATGGATGGCTTATCTCGGGGTCGTTCCCTTCCTCATTCCGTGCCTATCGAAAGCAATTTGAAAAGAACCAAACCACCTTTGCTCCGACTGACGGTGCGTCCCCGCCTGGAAAAAAAAAAGCACGTGGAGATCCGACCAGGGAAAGGGGAGGGCGTCGGCCGAATTGTCCGCTCGAACCCGCGAACCGCTTGGAGTCGAGGGAAAAAAAAATGACCCGCCGGCAGTTGGGAAGAGTGGGCCTTCGGCAGATTCGAAGCCAGAGGGTCCCTTGGCACCTGAAAGGACCCTCTGAATTCGGGGCTTCGAATCTGGGTGTGGCTCAAAAATAAAGAGCCAGGGTTACACATTAGTCTTTGGTTTCATTTACCAAAGTGCCATTTTGGTACATGATTTTGAGCCATTGCCATCTCGTCTGAAACCCCAACCTCCTATGCGGAAAAAAAAAGAGAGCAAAGGTTTGGGTCGTCCGAGCATCCCGTCGCCGGAACTTCATCAGAACGGAAAATGAGCGCCGGTCAGGAAGCGTTGGCTATGAAAACTGCACGCCTCAATATATATATATATATATAAGGTAGACTCCGTCGAGAGTGACGCAGTCGATGCATTTTTGGCACCATGCGTGTTCTGAAAGAGATGCCTTGAGTATCAAAATACCAACCCACGGTCAAGGAAGTTTGAGGGTTTGAGGGTTCACTGGTTCATGGTTTAGCTTCAATTCTCTTCAGAATGGGCCTCGCAAATGGCTGGTCTCTAGAAGACGCCGTGTCAAGATCGCCGCCAAAACTCGAGCCAAGGCAATCCAGGCCTTGTGCTCCAACCATTTTCCTGTTTGGTCAGCTTCCCCATTCTTTTCAGGAATCCTTCTTTCTAGAAACCACCAAAAAACCCTGGGGAGATGGCTGGTTTTTGAAAAGAACGATGGCTGAAAAGAATGGGGAATCAACCCCTAGAACCAAGGAATTCAGGGGCCACCGAGGGGTTTCGAAAGCGAAGCATGGCTTATCCTCGGGATGCTCCCTCGTTGGTTTCAACGAAGGTGCCCTCGCCTGGCTGCTCAGGGAATGAGTTGCAGCCGAGTTTGAAACCCTACGGATGGTCTCCAGGGGTGCACCAACCACGCTTCACAACGGCTTTCCATACCAGGACAGAGTTTTCTCCCACGACTCGGAAGGAGTTGTTCTGATGGTTTCCTGCAAAAAAGAGAAAAAACGACGCCCCAGGCCCGGGGTTCATTCCCTGACTCTCTGACTCGGTGCTTCCCTAGCGAGTCGAGCCAGTGCCGACACAGCTCGGGAGCTTTTTTGAGTCGAGCCCGGCGTGGAGCCGAGACCTTTGCCGAAACAAATGAGGTCTGGAGCCGTCCCGTTGATTCGTTGACGTTGGAGCAAGAATTCTCAGATCTCAGCAGTTCAGAAGTTCAGTGGTTGGATTTCAACCACTCAACCATAAGCAAAAATGTAAGATGTGCCCCAACTACAACCATGTAGTTCTGCTTCCCTGTGATTGGTGGCTTGGATTGGTTAGGTGGTTAGCGGGCGGGAAGCCCCAGTGATCTAGAACCAGGTATTTGGGTTCAATATCCAAACCGCCCATCCCAAGCACCCAACCAAGGGTTACCGGATTCTTTGCCTTGCACACAGCTGCCAGAGGGATTTGGTTGGCTCTGCCCGTGAGACATCAGCTGGGCACACGAGAAACGAAGCAACTTGTTATCCGCCAAGCACTCAGCGCCAGGAGCCATGAAGTTACCCCATCGGAGAGCACAACTAGCAAGCCTGGAGTTGAAGGTACGCAACCCCCAGCCAGACTCGCTAGTTCCGCAAAAAAGGGGAACTAGCTTCATAAACTTGTCCAGATTTCCTAGGATTACAGCCTTGAGAAAAAAGAAAAAACTTGACTTCGCTATGTCTGTTTGGGTTTCAGCTCAACCTGTCGCTTTAGTCTTGGCGTGTCTCCAACAATGCTCCAATCTTGGAGACTTTGAGAGGCCGCCAGCTAAAATGCATTGAGTTGCTATTGGTAGCAACTCGACTGGGTTGTTCAAATTCCTAATCGCCTGACTTCTGAACATCCGTTTACAATCCCCACCGATCATATATGATGCTGATTCAGGGCCATAGCAAGGGGCACCATTGCAGCCTGACATCTTTCCAACAGTAGCCCTTCCTGCCTGGATTGTTGGGTGCAAACTAGTGACCATAGGTGTCCTTTTAGGGGAAATAGATGGCCCTGGTAGATGATTAAACCACCAGGTCAACCAGGAATCGCCATCTATTTTTCGAGCAAAACCAATCTCATTTGGACACGATCAGTCGCACGCAGGGGATTTATCTTGATGCGCTTTTCAGCCTCGAAATCGCATGGTTTTTGGGAGGTGTCGCAAGAGGGACCTGGGAGTATCAGTCTCAATCGCATGCCACTCAAACTTCCCCCCCGCAAAAAAAACAAAAAAGTGTTTAAAGTCCAGGAACTGGGGGGGGCTGTTGCACTGGAACCAATGGAACC